GCGGGGCGTTCGACTACCACCTGGCTGGCGGGGTGCGTCCGAAGAGGGGCACCTTTTTCCTCCCTCGTCTCGCAAGCGAGAGAGAGAGAGAGAGACGGGAAGCTTATCAGGGTGCCGAGGCTGTTTGAACGGCGCGCCCGGAGGCAGGTTAGTCCACTCCTCGACAACCCCCCCCCCCTTCCTCCCCCTCCCACTCCGACGACCGCTGCTGAATGGCAAGCAGCCCGAGGAGGAGAGCAGTCCGTCCACCAGGAAACATTATTCCGATCATCAATGCGAGATGAAGGGATTAATGCGAGGAGATGGTCTTTGCTGCTCCTCGCGTCGCCAGCGTCGCCTTGGATCAAGGGGGAAAGATGGGGTCTCTCTCTCCCCCCCCCCCCTCTCTCTCTCTCTCTCTCTCTCTCTCTCTCTCTCTCTCTCATGAGTCTGAACGGGGGCAAAGGGGGCTAAGTCCATAACGCTTTGGGTGCGATAGAATCCCAATAACATCGCCGATGCTTCGCCTCGCCTCGGTCTGACCCACCACCACGGAGATAGTATAACGTTGCACTCTGCCGTCTATGCGCAGTGCCGAGGTGCGAGCGAGGCAGGTGACCGCATTCATTATGGAAGGACAGCGCCCCCCACTACCAGTCTAATGAAGTGTATTATGTCGACTCGAATTGCTAATTCATCGGCGCGCGAGTTTTGTAATTGATCCGGACGGTAATTAAATAAGCGAGCGCGCCTCGGACATGTCGCGGGGCCATCAATCAGGCCCGGCCGGTACGCCCCGCGAGCTCGTCGTGGAACGCCCTTCCCGGAACGCCCCGCCGTGTAGTGCAAGGAACGCCACCATTCATCACGCGCCGTGTGTGGCGGGCGGGGCGGGGCGCGCGCCGTGCGTGGTCCGGGTAGGCAGACCCGCAGGACAGTCGCGCGCGGCGGGCCGGCCTACCCCGCCGGGGGCCTCGGGGACCGACGACAGGGCCCGGCGGAGACCCCAACGCAAGTGGTGGCGGGCGGGGCGCTCGTCGCCGGGCGGGGCGTGCTGCGGGGCGTGGCGGGCGCACCGCGGCGCGCGCGGGCGGGCCGAAAGGGGCGTGCGCGCGGGTCGCGTGCCGCGGCGACACAGACAGACGCGCAGCTCGGCCCAGCCGTCGCGCCGGGTCCCTCCCCTCTCGGCTCCACTCGGAATCCCATTCGGAGACCATTCGGCTCCGAGTGGGAGTCGGAGTCGGAATGCAATCGGAATGGGAAGGAGGGGAGAGGAGGGAAGGGGAGCGCGGCTGTTGCCCTAGGGGAGGGCGGCGGCGCCGGCATGGGGCAGGTTAGGGGAGCGCCGCGGCCGCGCGCCGAGCCGAGGGGAGGGCGTGGGCGTGGGGGCCTCCTGTCAGCTGGAGCTACCCGGTGCTACCCGCGCTACCGGTTCACCCGCCGTCCGGCCCATGAGGAGGCGGGCGCCGGCGACATGAGCGGCGCGGGTGGCCTAAGCTGGCGCGGGGCGCGTTGGCGAGAGGATTATCCGCCCGGCCCGCCACGCACCGCACCCGAGTCTGTTTTATTGTGTTTCGGCATTGTCTCAGAGCGAAGGGGGAGGGCGCGGGGAGGGCGAGGAGGGAGAGAAATACGGCCTGTGATTCAATTAAACGCCATGCGCCCCAAATAATAAGGATTGTTCCGGACAAACATTACGCGGGGTGCCGTCTTATTCTCTCTCTCTCTGTCTGTCTCTCTCTCCTCTTTGTCTCCCTCTCTCTATCTCTCTCTCTCGCTCTCAAGGGCGCGGGGGTGACGGCGTGACGGCGCACGATGGGGATGTGGTGTAGCAACTACTACTGCTCTTTCGGTTCGCGGTTTTCGGATGTATTTCCCTCCTTCTCAAGCCGGGGGACGCCAGCCGTGAAGGGAATGGAAACGGAGAGAGAGAGAAGGGGAGTGGGAGAGAGGTAAGTGAAAGATGGAGCGAGAGAGAGAGAAAGAACGCGTATCGGGGGAAGAGAAGACAAGGCTGGTGGTTGTTGGTGGCGACACGCTCGGCGACACGTGAGGACATAAATCGCACCACAGCGGGGAGCAACGGGCGACAGAAAGAGTGAGGGAGGGGAAGACATGGAGAAAGAGAGAAACAGAGAGGCTGAGAGAGAAAGAGAGAGGCTGAGAGAGAGAGAGAGAGAGAGAGAGAGGGAGAGAGAGAGAGAGAGAGAGGCGCGACCTGGGGGCATACGGGGAGCCCGGGAATATTATCGC